CATTTGAATTATAGCAAGGCTTAAAGTTATATACATAATCAAGGACAGGCCGCTTTAGTTCCGCTACAGGCTGCTGTTTTTTCAGTAACCAGTCTTCTTTCAGCCCACCTCAGCTCCACCCACACTCCACTTACTGGACTGCTCTACAAATGATAATTTATGAATAGCTGGTGCAACCCAATCCCCTGTTAATAAACCTGTAATAATAATATGATAATAATAATATTTTTGGCCACATGAGGGCTGACAAAACAAGTTGTCAACACAATATTGATATATTATCACCTTTTAAGTTGATATCCCAAACATAGCAAACAACTACTACTTTACTAGCGATTATCATTCATTTTGAGTCATGTTTCTGATGAATGTAAACCCAATATTCACTCTCTTTTAGCACTGTTTTTGGTTGCTAACAACTCCTGCGGGAAATATATGGCTTTTTAGCTACTAAATGCTTCATTATTTTCACCAGCTAACTGAGCCTGTCTGCTGTTTGGTGCTAAGCAGGTACTGTACAGTGGGTTTTTAGAGCTTTTTCACTGAAAACAGTTCCCTGCTGTGGCCAAAAACTATGCCAGCCAAAATAGATGCCGGCCCAAAAATTAAACAATGAATTGAAAGTCGCTATTTAGCTACATAAAGCCAAGGGGGCCCATTCATATGGTCACATAGTTTTTACATTGTCATTTTTTTTATTCTTGTAAAACAATTAATTATGTCTGCTTTAAATTTACACATCAATCAGTTGACCCATAAATTAAAAAAGGAGATTTTCCAATGAAAACATGTTTTGCTCACTATCATCTTGCTTCCAATCTACTATCATCTTCATTTTGCTACTGTATGTGTGTGGCTAATATTTTTTAGGACTGCCAATGCAGTCTGACTGGTCAAACCATTTAGTTGGATTTAGTCATCTTTCTGCAGCACTTGTCCTGTCTTTTCCCATTTTCAAATTCAAGTCAGTCTCTCCTTGGCGAGTGACAGTTTCCCCTGTCTAAAACAAGTTGAACAAGTGAATAATTTCCACAACATATTTCAGTAGGGTGGAAGATTTTCTTCCCATGGGTCCGATCCAAGTCAAACACACTCACGAACTAGGAAAACTCTCACATCAAACAGCAAGATGTTGCACACCAAGGGAAATTTGGTAAACACACCCTGGCTGTGAGAGTTGCACCGCTGTAGAGGCAGAATGGCCGCAGTGACTTGTGCGATTATAGCGGCGTGGTGAGGTGACCTTATTTCCTAAGGGTGAATGGGCTGTCACTACCTGGAGGCTGCACAAACGTTTGATGCCTTCAGCCACACACACCCAAAATTTAACAGCCCATCCTTTAAAATGGGATGAAAAAATGAAACATGAAATTAAAATATATGCAGTACGGCATGCCAAAAAGAAACCACCTAAGAATTTGTGCCACAAAACTGAATGAGGGGAATAAATAGAAAACAGGCTTGCAATTAAAGCCATAAAATTTCAATTAGCCTTCATGTATTAATTAAATTTGACTTTAGCAACTGTAGAAGGGGGAGAAGGAATTTTCCTGTACTCTGTTCCATACTACTCTACTTAGCTTTACAATTTGCTTTTGTAATTGATCATGAAATGGTTGCTGGGTGTGCCCACACAGCTGTTGTACTGTAGCACTGTCTAATTAGCAGGCTATGACCGATGACCCAGGACAGGATATGATGCGTACCTGCCTCTGGAGCTTTTGTAAACACTTGGGTGTGTTTTTCCCCTCGATCCTTCACTGCTTTGCCATAGGTCAAAAGAAAAACATGTCGAGGCCCTCCCCCGCCCCTCAAAGTACTATACTTTGTCTCTTCTTGTGGCTATTTCACAAAGTTATTTATAGTAAGTTGAATGATCAAGTGGTTTGTAATTATAGGTTGATCTATATTTAGAGCGTGTCACTTCACAGGCTGTAGTCAGATAATAGCTGAGTTATTTATCTTACTGATTTCTATCTCTCTGGTTTGATTAACAAATGCAGTAAAGTTCCCGTAAGCTTACAACTTGCATAATCCTGATAACAAACTTCAGGAACGGATACCTGAAACTTTAGTGTTTGTGTGTGTGCGTTTGAGTGTATGTTTGTGTATATTTCCGCATGTGTGCTCACAAGACAGGACATTTTTCTCAGAGCACTTTGGAGATGGAACTGATACTCAGCCTGGCCTGTCTGTTTAAAATTCATTGAATGAATGTCATTTAATAACATCTGGTAGGGCACTTTAAGGACTTCTGTACAATATTTTTGCATGCCATACTAATAGTTAATTCCTCCTGAACTGAAATCCAAGACTGATAAACAAAAATGCATTTATTTGCCATGTGTGTTTTGCATTTTTCTCTATCTCTCTTTAACCATGTCCAGCTCTATCATCTTTTTCAAGCCTCCATCCCTCCAAGCCAGTCTTCTTCCCTCTCGCCTCTTCCCTCAGCTGTTCCATGCCCCTGCTCCACTGGGATTGATACAATATTTTCCAACCTCAATTAGCAGAGAGCCTGTTGACTAATTCCAACTGTTTTTGCACCTGAGAGGGAGTTGGGAGTCGGGGCTGGAAAAACTGAGTGGGGTGGAGGTGAGGACCGGGGCCTGGGTGTAGCAGGCAGGGCTGTCGGGGCAATATAGCTGTGTCGACAAGAGTGTTAAGGGCAACACAGAGGACAGAGGAGGGGTCGGTCAGACTGTTGGGTAGGATTTGTGAAAGCTGCATGCAGGCTCAGGACAAACCTGAGCTCAGCTACTCTAAGTTAAGCTACGCAGGGCTGCGCTTTATCTTGAAGAAAACAATGGAATAATGCAGAAAGATTAATACAGGCTAAAACAGCACTGTGTCTCCAACATCATGCATGTCTGTTTGGGTATGTATGTGTTTTGGAAAGAATTCAAGCACATGTATCATATTACATTGTACTTTTTTTTGTTCTTCTTTTTGAAAAATATATTTCAGGTGGTATTAATAAAATCCTAAAAAGAAATGTGTTTTCTTTCCTGTGCTGATGTTGCACTGCAGTATCTCTGTCACTGCTCATGTCATTAAATATGTACAACCTCCTGCTTGTCCTGCCACTCTAATCTATAGCATGGCCACCATATCAGTATCAAGAAATTGTGTGGGTCAGGAGGCTTTAAGTCTGATTGAAAGCCTCCTTATGCGATGGCAGTAATGGTAGCCTCACACACAGACAGAGTGGGACCTCAAAACGGTCTCAAACCAGATCTGCCCCATTGTGAGGCGCAACCACAGACTGACCACAGGGTCTACATGACCACTGGTTTGGCGCTGTGCTCAGCTCAGGGTGCAGGTACACACCCTGGTTCTGTGTGAGCACAGAAATAATCGTTCTTTCCACCAAAGGAAATGAGAGGATGATGGCTAAAGTGTATGAGGACATTACTTTTAAGGGGACTGCACTTTTTCATAGAGAGCTACTGCAACCACCTAAGAATTAATGACATGACTATGGCAAGAAAAAGCATGAATTTCACAATCCTCAGGCATAACTTTTGCTGTTTTCCAAAGACTCTGAACACTAATTCAAACTCCCTCATGTTGCCAGATTGCTATTGCTACCACTATTCCAAGTGTCAAATACAAGCAAAGTTTGGGAGTAATGTTTTATTATGGTGGCTGACATACTGTATATTACCACTAAAATGAGAGAATAATGTCCCAACTTGGATAAGCCCACAGGTCCAAATTTAACACAGTAATAATTCATCTCAACTTGAATTTCTACGAGCGTGTGTGGTTTTAAAAGATTCTGCCAGGTGACTAATCCCGACAGGTTAACAAATGTCATCCAGTCTGCAGCTTGGAGCTTATTGAAACAGTGGCAACAGACTGGCTGGCCTATTAGCAGGACGCAGCAGCTGCTCCTGCCCCCAGTAGCCGTATGGAAAAAGTCTGACTCACCCACTTGTGTAAAAAGGCATTAACGACCAAATACATAAATATTACCGTCAAAGGCATAAATGTCTCTGAGGGCTATCCAGTCTGTCAGTCAGCCAGTGACTAATGGAGAAGGAGGTCAGATCATGACCAGAGTCGGCTCATCTGACCTGGTCAAGCATCTGAAAGACACCCATTGATAGATACAGTGAAGAGGCCCAACTGCTCTATGAACAACCTCTTCTCAGGTGTCCCTGAACCACAGATTAGCTACAGACCACAGGCTTTCCAACAGAATAACCTATTTGGGTCTGTCTTGAACTGCGTGTTAGATGCAGCGATCAGGGTTGGGAAGTGTCCAGTCTGAGCAGGTGCTAAGAGGCACGATGTGGCACAAGGAAAAGCCACAATCATAGGAGACTCTAAAGAGAGATTTAGACCTGTGTGCACTACTGTCAGAAATATGTGATTGCAAACAGTAAATTTCTCTGTAAAGAAATCCCAAATACCAATGCAGGTTGCATGAGGTCAGATCATTGCTTTAAATCAAAGATTTTTTCTCAGCACTTCTAAATCTGACTGAAACTGCAATCTCATTACTTAAGACTAATCAAACTGTGAACAATACACATGAATCTGTGTTTGCATTTGCTAGAGGAATGTGTTTCTGTGTACACCTGCTACTTACAATTGATGCACTCTCATCACAGTTTTGACAAGTTAATCCCCAGTGAAACTAAAGCTTTTTTTCCAAACCCATTTGCATTGCCAACTGATGCTCAATGTCTCTCCTCAAGTCAGCTTTCTTGTGCCGGCTGTCCCATGAGGAGCCTTAATCCACACTGGGGTATTCCTTTCTTACTTAGCAACGCATATCTCATACTCTAAACACAACACAAATAGCTCAGCAGTGATAGAACCATAGGGTATCCCTATGAACTGTAAAATGCTGTAAAAGTGAACAGATAAGAAAAGTCCAGCCATAAAAATAAAAAGTGAGGACGTCACAGGGCATCCTGTCCGCTCTGTGACACCCAACACACTTTGGAGATACAGAACTTATATGCACTCTGGCTGTGCCAGCTACTTACTGTCTGCGTAGTTTTTCCGCCGGGTGCCGTCCACCTTGCCTGTTTTGTCAATGCAGAGGAAGAACTTGTTGGCAGAGTAAAGTCGCCGTAGTCGGACGTCGCCCTCTAGGTGATTGTAACTGCGAGTGTGCCTTTCCAACGTCCATGAACAGTTCATGCCACTCGCCAACACCTGAAGGGGTTCATGCCCAACCCCGGGAGGACAGGCCCCTGTGGCAGTGCCAGCGGTGACCAGGAGCAGGGTGAAGCATGCCAGGCAAAGGGAGGCTGCGCTGGGCAGGGGGAGAGGTCGCCCAGCAGAGGCTGCAGTAGTGGTGCCAAGGGCAGGTTCAGGACAGAGATGAGCTACGGACGGCGTCCATCTGCACATGGTGGGTCAGACTCCCAAGGTGCACCTTGTGCAAGCTGTAGGCATGCTGATGATCAGGAGATGTCCCAGTGGAGGGATGACAAGAGGGTGGGAGTCCTGAACTGACAAGGGAGGGAAATGGCACTCACAGCAGATCCTCTGGATGTCACTGATGACCAGTTGGGCTGACAGTAGGCCTTCCTACAGCAACAAGCTTGTCAAAGTTTCTCCAGCTGTCATCTTCAGTCTTGTGTCCGTTTCTATTTGCCCGAATCCTTCATGGAGTGTTGTAATAGTATGAATCCACCTTTACAAGTTCCTCTTTATTGTCGTTCCTTGTTTCTCTGTTTGGTTTCCTCCTTGGACTGAGGTCTTCTTTCCCGTAGCACAGATAAAGTCCTGGGATCTTTAAGGATGCGCATGTGTGTGTTTGTCTGTGTGTGTGTATAAATATGTTTGTTTTTGTGGAATATGTGCGCGTGCACCTTGCGATGCTCTACTCTTTCCAGCTGAATAGGAACAAGGTCCCTGTCTGAGCTGCTGACCCGTGGCTGAGAGGGAGTTGAATGAGGGTTGGTGACTGACTCTGTGCGTGTGTGTATGTGTGAGTGTGTGATACTGAGAGAGGGAGAGAGAAAGAGAGAGGGAGTGAGCAAGTGAGTATGGGAGGGAGAGAGCTGGTGTGTGTTTGCGACAGAGAGAGAGAGAGAGAGAGAGAGAGAGAGAGAAAGAGAGGCAGTGAGAGTGTGTCTGTATGTGTCAGGGTGAGCGGCAGTCAGCGAGTGTGTGTCAGCTAGCACGGGGCAGTGGAGCAGTAAGTGAACGGCCTCACGCTCTGCTGTGTGCAGTCAGTCAGTCAGTCCTCTCTTCTGTGGAGGCACTGTCTGAGTTGTCCTGCATTTTATCCTGGGCAGGGCTAGCATCTAGGGGGTTGAAAGGAGAGGGGTGGGGCCACCACACTCATTCATAACCATTTCAAACAAATGAGAAAGCCTGCATCAAGCACCGTCCCCTTTCTTTATTCTCTCAGAAAAGTTTATTCTGTGAGAAACAAGTCATTTGCTTTTCACCTGAGGATTTTATTATCCTCTTTTCTTTTTCTTCTTGGTCTTTTGGTCACAGACACCTGGAAAGACTTACATCCCTTTCCTATCCCATGACCTTTGCTGTCTCCTTGATGTGAATGGTAAGGCATTTTGTAACACGGTCAAATCAGCTCCATTACTGTCCAGTGAACCAGCTAGGGGACCGTTTTTTGACACCTTCGCTCTATTTTCTTCTCTCTGGCCACATGGGGCAAATTAAGGGAGCCTTTCCTTTTTTTACGGCTGCTGGTTTGAATCATCGAGCAGTTACAAACACAGAGCAGGTTGCAAGAGTGTCGGCAGAGTTAGTCCAGATGAAGCTTGAGAGACTTTCTGATCACCTGTGTTAATATTTCAATGAAACACCCTCTCTGATCTTTGCTGTTTCATTTGGGAGAGCAGGACGGAAATGAAGAACACCTTTTTTGTGACTTCCCACACTCTTGTCTGTTCTTTACAAGCTGTGTTATGAACCTGATTAGGGGAAGGCATTAAAGCTCAGCCAACCTATTCCAGTTAACAGTGATGACTCTTTATTTCGGGCCTTTGCTATTACTATATACATATATAGTCCTATTCTGAACTGAACTAGAACTTAAAGGTCCAGTGTGTAGCATTTAGAAGAATCAATGGGCAGAAACAGAATGTAATATGCATAGGTATCTTTAAAGTAAATAATGTATTATTACCTGAATATAAGAATCGTTATGTTTTTGTTACTTTAAAATGGACCTTTTATATCTACAGACGATGCTAGTCACCTTCCATGCAGTCCGCCATGTTAACTGCCATGTTTCTACAGTAGCTCAGGAAGGACAAAGCAAACACTGGTTCTAGATTTTTCGTGCACTGGACCTTTAAAGGAAAATTTTGAGAGCGAGTTCATTGAAATGACTGATACACTCTCATATCTGAACCATAAATACTGTATAAACTACAGCCAGTGGCCTATTATTACGTAAAACGGGGTAAATTGTTGTAGCACAGATTAAACAAACAACATGTTAAGTAGTGAGCTTTGAAGGTGCTGGTAGGCTGATTGTGTTACCTTTGGACATAGCCAGGCTAGCTGTTTCTAACTGCTAAGTGCCTGCTGGCTCCAGCTACATATTTACTGTACAGACAAGAGAGTGCTATCGATCTTTGAATCTAAAGCTTTAACTTCAACACAGGCGCTGTTGTGGATAGCTGTGGACTTAGAAAGAGAGAGATTGAAAAAGTGGGATAAATAAAGAGACGATGCAGAAGTTCTCAAGTTGGTGCAGTCTAGTTAGCTGTGGCAATTACCTCCTTTTAAAAAGAGTCCCTGTTTCAATTATGAGTACCACACTGAGGCCATGCTTGTCCAGTGCTGGAAGTGTGTTTGAGGAGAATGTGCTCAGGGAAGGTGACAGTCACTTCACACTCTGTAGCTTGTTAACTGCCCCCAGAGACTTGCTGTCCCCCTAGCCCCTATTTAAACCTTACATCATAAAAAAACCCTCTTTCTCCAAACTCCCTGCTCCAGCCCCTTACTCCCCCAAGCCATTCCTGTCTACCTGCCGGTATGCTCTGGTCCTTGGTGCCTGCCAGGCTCCTCATCAAAGCTACTTTCAGTATACGTAGATCTATAAGAGCCCTTTGTACAAATCAGTCTTTCACCCTCATTTAAACCATGCTGCCGTGTCTGTTAACTTCCTCTGGCTTTATCCGTCTTCCGGTTCTCAGTCTTTTCTTTCCTCCTCTCTCTGTCCTTGCAAGTGAAATCTGTTCTGCAGTTTTTAGTCACCACTTGCATGAGCTTTCAAACATTACTGGAAGTGGTGGGAGTCTGAACGAGAAACAAAGAAGAGCAACAGAGAGGGACAGAGAGCATTGTGAATGTGTTTTTTGTTAGTGTTGTATGAAGTTGTTTCCCCATCTCCAAAAACCAAAAACATGTAGATACTTTTCAGGACATCTGAGTGTTTGCAGGCTTGGCTCAGTAATTTATTTATTGTTCTTTCTCTATCAGCACTGATAGGAAATAATATTATATGGTTATATAAGCCATTTGGATAATGGCTGCCTTGCCTTTATGATGGACTAAGGTGTATAAAGAAAATATGTCATTTGAACACAAAATGAGTATGGCAATGATGGAGTTGCATCATCATGGCCAACTTTAGAAGGCATGGCAAACTATTCAGTTAGTAACAGAGAGACATCATTTTTGTTGTGGAGAACTAATGCATTTTAAGCTCTCTGTTAAAATTAACCTTTTACACATTGTGCTGCTCCCTTCCCTTTCCTTTGCTGATTGAGGCAGATTGTTTTGTTACACATGCTGGCTAGTCAGATGATGCTTCCAGCTAATAGTCCCAACAGACTCCATATGTCAATTATAAACTCTCCAACCGCCTTAACCATTTCTTTTTCCAGTATGACATTGATCATGTTTGGAGCAGAGTTGGCAACGTTTTCAAAGTCATAGAAGTTAAATTGGAATTTGTACGACTTTTTGATCAGTGAGAGATATTATTCAGACAAGAAGTCACTCTAGTCTTTACAATAAGGGGCACGACATTTTGAATAGTTACCAGGCAACAAATGAGGAACAAATGAGGAACTAGGGAACAATTTGTTTAAAAAATATTTTTTTAGAGTGGCTGATGATTAGTTAATGATTTATTAATTAAGAAACAAGTGAGGAACGAATCAGGAATGACTGGATAAGGTATGAATCATTGATAAGTACTTCATACTCTAATAACTCCTAATGGAGGACTATAGTAGATAACAATAAGTTACTAGAGAACAGACTGAGAGATCCTATATTAATGAATCATTAGGTAATGATTATTTCATGAATATATGTGACTCAATCATACTGACTCTTCATAAATTGTTCTTGATTAACTCTGAACCAGCTGGTGAACGGTGGTGATTCTATTTCTGTTTTGTAAAATAAAATAAAAAAGATAAATTGATCTCAGATTTTGATGGAGGACACATTCTCTTATTATTTTGTGTTTGAGTGTAGTCTCTCTTCCAAGCACACACACACACACACACACACACACACACACACACACATACAAGCAAACAAACAAAACAAAGAGGGAGAAGAAACCAGAGAAAGTGAGAGAAAAAAGGAGAATAAAAAACCCTCAGGAAGTTCCAGTTGTCCTTCCTTTGCTGAAATTCCCCATAATTAAAATCATACAATCATTCTATGTACTGTATAACTTCTCAAAAATCGACATGCCTCCTGAGGTCAACAACAAAGCTCGGGCCTCATGTGAATGTCAGATGTGGCAGCAGATTGCTTTGTGGTGTCTTGGAAACAAATGTTTGGGCTCTGAGCTCAGTGCCAGAGCAGACACAAGCATAATGTATTTCTTTGTCAAATGTCTTAATGTGCAATCGCTTGCTGTTTTACATTGTGCATCTTTGACATTTGAAAACTGCAGTAATTTACAAGGTTGTGACACATGCTGAGGAGTTCTTAAATGTCCGGTTCAAACTATAGCTTTTTACAACAGTCTAGCTCATTTGCAATTTATAATCAAGTCAGGAAGGAATCCACTGCACTTACAGCATCTGCACTTATAGTTTGATAGATACAAGGAACAACACTGATGCTAGTAGCTCTTAAAAACAGTGGTGCTTTGCTAATTGGGATTAGACACCAATTTAGACACCAAATTAGAAATTCAACGTGATGATGACACAAGAGGAATGGTCAAGGGATCAGTAAGACATCACAATTCACCCCAAGGGGAACATGACTGTCTATCCCAAATTTCTTGGCAATCCATCCAATAGTTGTTGAGATATTTCACTAAAAAATAAAGATTTCAGCCTCATAGTGGTTAGAGGAAAAGACCTGCGACCAGTCACCATGATTGTTAAATTCATCCAGTGGTTGTAAAGATATTTCAGTCTGGACCAACGTGCCCGGGCAGATCAACTGTCAGGCCGACGTTGCCTTCGCTAGAGCTGCTAACTAGCTACAAAGATCGTTGCTCTGACTTTACTGTGATCTCTAACGACCACAACATGTCTGATGTCAGTCTGCCACAGATGGATTATATTGGATCTGTATCCCCTGAGTTGGGTTGAGTTGTGTTGAATTGAGCCGTGCTGTGTGGGTGTGCCCTGAGCTGAGAACACCACTCTGTGAGCCAGGCACCCAAGGAGGATGTTCTCAAGTGGAGGAACCTAATCTTTCCCAGCAGGAATCCAAGCGGCTCTGTAAGTGTATGAATAGAGATAATATCTCTATAATGAGGCCTGTTTTGTACCATCAAAGTCTTCAAAAGGGTCTGAAACCCGACCTCCCTCCTAGCACTGACAATCCCTCAGTAATAGCTCCCTATTATTAATTGTTTTGTCGGCCTGCTAAGTCCTTGTCTCCCTCTTTTTCTCTGTTGCTCTTGTAGTTGTGTTTTAGCAGCTCACCCATGACCTGGTGCTTTTAAGTGTTCTGACATTCTGCCAGTTTGTAACTCAGTGGTAGGAAGGTGTTTGTTTTCCTCTTTTCAAATTAAAGTGTTTCCAGATACTGAACAATCTACTTTCTCTTTATTGTAGATGCTAAGCTGCAGGGAGTTGCAACACTCACATAAGGAAATTACCTCACACATATTATTCACAGGCTGTAAATTCTCATAATTTCAGCGATTATGCAATTTATCCCTTCAGCATGTCCAACACTGCCTGTGTTGTTAGATCAGACCCAACACAGGTGTGCTTCATATCTTTGAGCAAGTCTGCTGTGGTTGGCTGGCAATCATCCGGACGTGGTTAAAGGAACTGACCAGACCACCCCAACTCAGCTCCACTGAGGACATGGCCCTTTGCATATCCTGCTTCGTGACCATTGTCTATTGTCAGTGGCATTCTGATAAGTGGGTCGTCTATCTGATGCTGTGAAGAGTTCTGAGAGATTCAGCCTCCCAGTTCTTCACAGGACAGCAAGCGGAGATCCAGCTCACTGATAGCGTTTGATGAAAAAAACGTGACTTGTCAGTTGTGATTAAATATCTGTGCACTTCTCATCTGATATACCAGAAACACAAAACGGAACACACAGATAGAACAGGATGGTGGTGGTGAGGAATTACAAAGCACTTTAAAAATCTTTGCTGACTCTGCGTTTCCTCACTCTCTTAATAGATGCAGTAGCTTTGTGTGAGTATTGAGGTTGACCTAGCATCTGAAGTATACATCATTCTTTCAAATTATTCTATTAAGATACACTTGTAAATAGCACAATAGTAGCATGACACATCTTAAGACATTCTAACTGACTCACTAATTGAACCCATCTTAAAATGCATGTGGGGAAACCCAATAAGTGCTGAGTGAGTCACAGCAGTCCAGTAAAGGCCTGTGCATAAGCCTGGAGGATTATTCTAATGTTTGTTTCTCTGTAATGGACAGTAATGGACATAAAGTGTGTGATGTGATGACTAACATTTCAGAATTAATGTTTGTATCAGTTCTCTGGAAGTTTAGAGTAGACTGAAAAAAAAAAAACTAATGGGCTGCATGTCTCAACATCAGCCTAAAAGTTTGAAAAAGCTGTTGAATAAAGTTTTCCTAAATAGCACTTTTCAGATGTCACATATGTGGAGCTTCAAGAAAGCACTTTTTTTCCAAATGGTGACAGGTCACTAATTCCATGTAAGTGACACAGAAACACACACAAGAGACTCGCACACAAACACATGCCAAAGGCATTTACCAACACAAGCATCTCACAGAGAAGTGTCTCCATCAAAAACAGCCCTCTCTCCATCTGTTAAACAAATAGGGAGTCCCTACAAAGGTGTGCAAAAGAATCCACATGATCAAAGTGTATGAGAATGGCAGCCTTGTCCTGGCCTGGCCATTATCAGGCCCCATGAATGCCTGTCTTCTCCTCTTTTGTCGGTCGAGGCATTGACAGTCACTCACCCGGCAATGACTGTCACACCAGCGCAAAGAGCCAGCCGCCGACAGGGGCCAACCACATCAAACGAGGCTGTCAAGGGGCCCTGCTCGTGAACCGTGGCAACAAACACCTCCTGATCCTCACCTACAGCTCAGCAGCAGACACCCACTGCTGTGCTCTCAGCTACTGCCTCCACTGAGAAAAGATGTACTGCCTGGACCTCATTTCCCTCTCTGCAGCCCCCCTTCTCTCTCTTTCTCTCTCTCTCTCCCTCTCACTGTCTCTCTTTCTCTGTCAAGTAGTGCTTGTGTTAACCTCCAGCCTGCCGAGACACAAAAGGCTGCTAAAGTGTTTAAGAATGCTTTATGGATGCATGACAAGGGGAGACTGACACTGCTGGGGGTCAGAAAGTATACAGGATGTGAATGAGATACATTCAGTTTTACTTTTCAGAAGTCGACTGGAAGAAGACGACAGTACTTTACAATGGGCTGTGACATGAACTTTGGTCAAATCAGCTTGAGTGCAGGTTGCATGTGTATACTACCAGCTACAGATTAAATGAATGGAAATAAATGCAACCTCAAATGCATTTTTTCCCCCCAATTGATGAGAAGTACACGTTCGCACCACAATAACTGTCAGTGCTGTACAACTCCTGAGACAACTGACACATAGGATTTTGTGCCGTTTTTAAACAGCAGTTTCTGGGATTACCAAGCTTCAAACACTGTGAATTTAATTTTAAATCAACATCACAATTTATGCTGAAGGTTTTAAGCAAAAATTATCCACAACTCTGACTGCTGCAGATTCAATATTTATGTCTACACAAGTAAAACCTAGTACAGGAAGTACATTTAAGTGCTGGACAATAAAGTTTTAACCATTTCTACATATAACCAGTATACACTATAGTATATAGTATAGTCCTAACTAGTACGATCTAAACTGTAGCCTACTATGCCTATAACTTATAACAAAATGTTTGACACTTCAGAGAATCATGTATTTATGTGGGGTGTAAAAACAGTAATAATATATAACATAAATGTGAATATAAATGTCAAAATATGATACAAGACATGTTGCTTGTATCATTGTAAGACACTCATTTTCACTTGGTTCTCCTGTTTTGTCTCCTCTACTTTGGCTGACTGTGATGAGACTGCCACCTGCAGGCCAAACATAATTCACTATCCATTTCAAACTACTGTGATGTGTGTGAACATTTCAGTTGAACCATTATAAGACAGAAGGGAAAAGAGGATGATATTCAGAAACAATCAACAATAGTGTAGTTCTGCCTAAAATAACTTACTGCTATCCCTTTAAATATCTCTATTTATGTCCTGAATCTACTCCAATATTTGCAGGGAGGGCAGGAGAGACAAAAGACCCAAAAGAACCTGGCTGCAGACAGGAAGGCAACCAACTTTCAATCAAGATAGTATTCGGTATGCAAGTCACATAAAAATCAACAGCAGGATGTAGTAGGTTTTACGGTTGTATGATCATTTCTTAGGGCCATGAGGATTAAAATAAAATGAGACTGGAGGCAAAAAAACCCCAAAACTAATCAAAACATGCCTATGAATATTATATTCTTTTTCTATCAATAGATCCTCCTAAATGTTACACACTGGACATTTAATACACAGATAGAAGCTATCATTTCTTTTATACACCACTCTTTGCTAAAGAACTAGTCCACAACACAGTGTCTAATTATTCTCAACAGTGCTCCCATTCCAGACAAGTCTGATGAGCAGCAAAGTCCACTGCAGTAAGAGCCTCAAACCTGTGCCCACACTCACTTTATAATCCTTAAGCTCTTTAACAGTTATGAATATTTGTTTAAATCTGTATTCTATACATCATTTTCTGCATTGTTTTTCATGTAAGGTTATTGCATTGCCTTGAGTTATATTGCAATACCATTATAATGTTATAATGACAATTACTTGATACTTGTAATAATATAATAATAACAACTGAGTAGTACTGAAATCTTTGATTTCTATTTTTTATTATTGTTGTAGTATAATTATTCTGATCTCCGTATTGTTAGTACCATTAGTTTAGTCTATATATACTATGCACAATGGTTAGTTCTAAGAAAGTTTTTACTTATCACTACTGTAACTTGTGTTTGTCGCAACCATTATCAACAACTCAGTTTCTTTACAATCCCATTTTGTTAAATATTTTGTGTGTATGGACATCTGCCTATATTGCTCTGTAAATAGGACATTTACACAAACGATTAATAAAATAGTTGATTATTTCATCACCTTTACTGTTCATTTTAACGTAATAATTACTACTACTTGAGTGTCCTCAACCTGGCAACCCAGGCCTGCAGTACCCATTGTAAACACTCACTGTGAGTCTTTTATTGCTCCTTTAACACGTAAATCCAAAACCAAATGACCAAAAGTTTTTGGCAATGTAGTGTAATCATAACTTAATATACCTTTGTCGCGGCAGACATTTTGACATGAATAGAGGTGTTACCAACGACATCAAGGTCCTGCTCCACTGAGGTCAAACATACATACTGCCAATGGGGTCAAACTAAGTGTGAACCAGAGCGCTGCTGGTTTGATCCCATACCTGCTGCACTATATGGACCAGAAGCTGAATTAGTGTTATTGGAAACACCCGTGACTACCCCACTATTTCGTGTCAAAAGGTTGCTGTGAAAAAATGTCTAAAACAATCAAAACATTCACAAAACGCAAAAACAAAACAAAAAGAAAAACAAAAAACGCCACACTCGAATTATCTGCGATCTTCTAGCCGTGCCTTAACTATAATGCTCGCTCCTCGCAACTAGCTTGGTCTCAGGGATATTAGGGACAAATGGGGAGACGGTGTGGGAAGCACAGAGAGAGAGAGGGCATATATTTCCTAATAAACACAGGGTTGCTTAGTAGAATATACTTTTTAGATAATGTAAACTTAATGTAAACTAGATCCGCCTCCACACACTCCGGTACGGTAGGTGGCGCTATGCACCTGTAAAACGAGATCGCAATCCGCCGAAAACAACCCACAAAGAAGTAGCTCGGGCTCATTGAACATGGCGTCCTAGTGCTCAGAAGTAACGTGGTAATAACAAGTCAACATGTTACTTCTTAGAGTAGGTGACTTTGCCAAATGTCTGAGTCGTCGCTGTTTATTTGAGAAGTATGCTGTTCGCGCGTCTTTTGCGGACTGCTGTCAGCTGTGTGTGTCGAGGAGGAACGGCGCACTCAGACGAGTCTCAGGTGAGTCTGTCTCATAGATGTCAGCCAGGACAGTCGCAATGTGATGGACATGAACTCCGGTTCGTAGAGACCTCTGGTGCCTGTGTACTTTTAGGCTTTACCAAATAGCTCTTGTAATGCTGGACACGTTTGTTGTGTTTTACCGAAGGTGTAAAGGGCTGTTATTGAGTCCAGCCTGGGCGTGTTTTGTTTGTGGACACTGGCTTGAGTGGTGTCCTTCATGTTGCGTGTCTTCATTGAGACAACTTGAGACGATAGAACTGCCATTAATGTTGTTAGTGACTCTGTGGGTTAGCGCGAAGCTCTCCATCAATCATTTGACTGCACTCAACTGTAGGGCTGTGTGTTGATACGGTGTGTTACAGGGGTTACGATTCAACATGCTGCAATAAATGGTGATACTGCAAGTAAAGTGAAATATGGAGATTTGTTCTAATTGTAGGAGAAGTGTCATAGTATACAACGCTGTTTACAACACTGTTATATACCGTTTGGGGTTTAAACACAAAATATCGCGATACAATATTTTCTCATGCCACGACTAAACTATAACATTACTTCACAATATTAGTGTCATTTTAGTCTGTTTTGGCAGACTATGCGTTAGCTGAAGCTCAGGTGGTGGAGTGGGACGGCTCGGTGGTTCGATACCCTGCTCCTCCTGGTCCTTAACTGGGACTCCAGAGTGACCTAATGTTAGAAGTGATTGGTTAGGAAGATGAGGGAATATTTATTCGTTTGTCTGCAATAGTTACTGTAATGTCTCATGTATACACCTGTTGTTTGTTTTTGTTTTTCAGAGACACCCTTGTGGCTTCAAAGAAGAAATGTTACATTTGTAATTCCAAAGACAGAAGATGGAAAGAAACGTGTACTGGAGCAGTCTCAGTTGTTAGACGGTATGTTATCGGAGAGACAGGGGGTTGTCTTCCTTCCAGCCCAAACTGCATTTGTTTAGTGTTTTGTTCAAGACTCCTGGTAGAAATTCATCCCGAAGATCCTCATCACAGTTATTTTGTGGAAATTGTGCAGTAGACTTATGCAGGCTTTTCTGTTCCGTAACTGGTTCCTACTGTATGTGTCCTAGGTGTTGCTAGGCCTAATCAGCAGCTGTAGCCTGTAGTTCTTTCTGTATTTCCGCCTATTACTTTGACATTGTCATTTATGTCCAAATGTCTTTTCTGTTTCTCCTTCTCAGTGCTTGAGGCCAGGATCCACCAACTCCAATCTGATGTCGTTCTAGATGTCCAACATGCAAAGGTGCAATTTGTTAAAGCCCCATCCTCTGGAAGAGGGTGTTTATCTGATATGGGTCCTATAAGGAATCCTAGTAAGAAAACAATACCTAAATCAGCGCCGGCATTTTGTAGTTCTAAGCCCAGTCGCTGGATGCAAAGGTTAAGTGAGGAGAACATAAGGAAACTTAATCAACAGCAGCTACTCATTGAGAAACTCAGGAAGAAAATGGAGAAGAAGGTCCAGGCTAAGAAACTAAATCAATCTCTAAAAAAGGTTCCTTGTGAAGATGGCCAAAAGAAGAGAGTTACTAATGAGTCGAAGGAGCTGAAGAACAGTCTCAACCAGCAACACAGTGAAGGAACTGTATCTGAGGACATCCTGCTGAACATCCAGTGTTACCTGGAGTGCTGTGTGTTTGCTGGGAAAATTGAAAGGGCATACCGCTTTCTGCTAGTGCAGCACAGAAACGTGACCCGACGTAAACATCTGAACACGGACATCTACAACATCATGATGAAGGTGTGGGCCAAGAGGGTGAGTTCAACAATTAAGACATTATGTTTTAATCATTATGGTCAGTCTAATTGTCACTTGTTTCCTCCCTGTTATTAAACATTTCTGGAGTAAGCACTGGTATTAAGTATAAGTGGAAGAAAAGTTTAATGGTCATGCCTTGTCTCTCTCTCTCTCTCTGTGTTTTAAAGGGTTCACTAAGTCAGATCGGCCGCATGTTCATTATGTTAGAAGAGCTTGGTCTGAAGCCAAATGCGGGATCATACTGTGCTGTACTGGAGTGTATGGGCCGCAATCCCGACTGCACACCAGAGATTGTCACAAGGTTTGTACAGGCACACACACCACCCACACAACTTAACTTATGTCAGTTTTGGGGACATTACATAGCCATACATTATTTTCCTAGAGACTTACACAGCTTGTGCCCAAGTGGTCTTTACTATGAAACGTGTCCCCGAAGGTTTGTGATGACATTTTAAAAGTTAACATATTGGTACAATATCATTTAATTTTTAACAACAGGGCTGTTTGAATTCTAAAGGAGGGCAGTGGCAATACAGAGGGTTACCAGCAGGGGTCAGACAAGGCTCATGGTTTGTACACCCTTTGTGAGTTATGGAATATACGATTTCTTTGTGATTGTAGCCACGATTGTCATTATTTGTGGCCATTTTTATCTAAAACTAATTGTGTCAGAGAAGCAGCAAAATATATCTCTAAGGATCTGGTTTTCAGTGATGTGGACCCCGGTGGTGCGTTACTGAGTCGGCTTAAAAGCATCGTCTGTGTGTAATTCCTGTGGTTTTTTATAATGGAGCTATTTTGCTACGACATGCTGCAGTGATTTAGTTACTGCCAGATCTGATGATTACTAATGGAAAACACTGCACTTGACATTGTAGCCAGGTTCCCAGTTATCCTGGTTACTAACATTGTGTAAACATGTTTCTCAGAGATGAAAGTACAATTTGGTTCTTTATTCTAGCTGCACATTGTGAATTCAGCATATATTGATATTTCTGTGTCTCAGAATTGAACATTTAAATGCATTTTAAGTATTACAGATCAATAATATATATTGCATGGCATCCCATTCTGTCTGTACAGTGGGACTTAAGATGCAACAGGTAAATTCATCAGCGTCATGCATGGCGCTTGACTGTAGGAAGTAAGACTTGTTAGTAATGTATGCTCCCTTCCTATAACTCCAGCTTTACTTAAAATATAAAAGTTGTACAACCTAATAGTTGTTTATGATCTTTTCCTTTTTTGCCTCATGTTGTTCATTGTTGGGTTATTTAGCTTTTTTTTTAAGGAGGTTTAAGGAGGATTAAACATAGCCACAAGTCTCTAGTAGTGCTTTTATAGTAACTATACAACTAAAAGCAATTATGTCTATTATTATTATTATTATTATTATCATGATTTTTCTTTTTTCTTTTTCATGCTTTGTGTTTTGCATTTTATTTTTGTTTTGTGAGGTTTTTATGGTCTGTGTAAACTGGTTTACTTTTGTTGCTGCAACAATGTGATCCCTGCAATTACGGCTACACCCTGACCTGTGCAGTTTTAAAAATCAAGTTGGTGTTATTTATTTTGAGTGACAGTTCAATGTTCACTGTCTCTCCTGTATTAAGCTATGTTCCTAACACTTTGCACCTCATTTGCTGTTCCTTTGCTGATAATGTTTCCATGGCAACCAAGCATCAAACAGTTGTTACATTTTTGTGTTGACTGCGAAGGTTTGTTTGATGATTATTGTAGCTTTCCACAGGGCTTCATAAACATTTTTTGGTAGTGGCCGCATGCTGACAGTTTTAATGAGACGGGCTTAGACTAATTCAATTGTCACAAGATAGCAGAACTCTGCTGACATGGATACTAGGGTATTTAATTTATTTTTCTAGCAAGGTGTTGCAACTCTTTTCATCCAGGACAACCTTGACAGCCAGCAGCCCAGTTGTGTCTCTGCAGTAACTAGGTCATCCAGACAAATCACTGTTAAGTATTATTAATTGAGTTTTTATGTCACTGACTGCGTGTCAGACCCACACTTAGATTTATTACATGACATTTAGCACATACAGTATACACCTACTGGGCACAGCTAACAGCTCCAGCAGAAGACTACATGTGTCACAGTGTGTGAGGCTGTTTGATGGCAGCCAATACAATCACCTGGCCTGTTGCCCAGGCAGTGGCAGGGCTCATATTGAATCTTCCCCTTTTTTTAATGAGGGGCCTAACATTAGTCTGAAGTTATTATAGCAGGAAAAACTACAGGGCACAGTGGGTGTTTGTTTCATTTACCCTAATGCATGTTGATATATAGACCCAGCTGAACATGCACTTTTCTATTTATAAAACACCTGCCCTTTTTGAAATAGACTACATAAGCCATGTCCCAGTTCAGGAGTCGCAGAAAGTTTGACATGTTCAGCAAGCACATAAGTTGTTACAGATAAATGGAAAGTAAACAGGTCAATTTACTCGAGACCGGCCTGACTGATACATTGCTATGGCCGACCTTATCAGACAAGTTACACTTAGCACACATATATATTGGTATTGGTTAAGTTGCAGTACACAAATACTTAAGATTGGTTAGAGGTCCTTTAGAAATGGTGTCGCCATTACATTGTTTGTCCACCAGAGAGCACTGACAAGTACCGAAAATGTCTGTGTTAAAACGTGAATTGACGGATACCTAATTTTCAGATTTCTTTATTTTTAACTCTCAAATATCAAATCTCAACTATACTGTCGATATCTGCATCACCTTCAAATATCCATTGTTGGTTTGGCCTGTATATTTACGATTACTTGGTACATTGTCTGCTTGTTGTGAAAAATATCACTTGTAGTGTAAACAACAAGTGCATTTTTTTAAGTTTACGAGTTGACAAGAACTACCTGAATGCACCATAAGTTTTAGACTTTTTGACATAAAACCCCCTCAATCAGAAAGGGAGTGCGCTGCAGTTTCAGCACACAACTGTCAGCCTCCTGAAGGTCTGACCTTCCTAGGCTCTGTCCTTTTTCGAGAAGGCACCTTGTGTGGTTTCTAATCACAGCATGCAAAATAGGCCACTTCTACAACATGATTTTGCAGTGAAATGATAAAATCTTATCACCCCCCGTGTCAGTGCTGGCTTGAGTAGTTGTTTGAGAGCTTCATCAGCCTCAGTCACATCAAGTGCTGTTATACAAGCGCGTGCACACACACACACACACAAACACACACTCATAGCCTTATACTTTCCTCCCTCCTGGACTCTGGGGACATCACCCTATACACCATGGCGAGGCAGTCAGGGTTGGCGGTATGTGTCTGGTTGGTCCATCGATCACTGTAAGCCGATGCTTAAATGACACTGTTGTTCTTCAGTGGTGCACTTCTGCTTAGTTTTTAGCCAAGCAGTCTCTTTTTTCTCTAACCCCACTCATAATTTTCTCTGTCACTCAATTTGTTTGTTGTCTGCCTGTCCTTTTCTTTACTGTGTTGTCTCCCCCTTTATTATGGCCCGACTGCGGTTCTCTCCTAATATCACTCTCGCCTCGGAAATCTCCCCTGCAACATCCTCGCCCTCAATGTACCAATTTGTTCCCTTCTCCTCTGTGTCTCTCTCTCTCACACACACACACTGTCTTTCTCACACACACACACACACACACACACACACTGACTCACACACACACACTGACTCACACACACTGACTCACACACACACTTATCCCTTTAAGTTTTCCCTTTTGTTAGTGCTGTGTCCTCCAGAGCTCTTTGCTCCCTAGGGTGCAGCAGAGCAGTCACCAGGCTGATTATGCTCTATCTTTCAACCTCTCTGCTCTCTTTGTTCCCCTGGACCACACTGCCAGCACCCAGACTAATCCTCTCTTTGTTCAAGGCTCTCTCATTTACTCAGACCAAAATTGCACATTGCATCACAAGAGACTCTGAGGCATGAGTGAAAATACCAAAAAATCTTTGACCTCTTTTGCTCGCTTTAGAAATACTTCCGAACGTATAATTCATAACTTTAAACTGCAGACTTATGACGGAATACAATGTTTTCTTCATTGTGTTTATGAATTCATTCATGCGCAGAACCCAGCACTCTTCTAATTGCATTAAGTCGGTGAAAGTTGCTGAGCCAGTGTTTCCTCCAAGTGGTAATAAGCGCGCTGTTATTTATAATTGTCTTGAGGAAAAGGCATGCAGGGTTAAGCAGAGCTCTCTCATCCTCTGTGGTCGATGACAAATGGCTTTTCCTCACTTCTGTCTCTCGGCTTAGTCATGTAGTTCTTTTGTTAACCTCCAGGGAGCAGTGCAACCAAACATGGTATTTAGGCTCCTCAATCTTTGTTTGGCGGGGGTTTATACCTCAAAGTGTGCATGTTGCTAACAAGGTTTTACCCTTGTAGACATACGACATACATATTAATTAAAAAAATACGTTATTGTGTACACTGTTGGTCATACAAATAGCGCCACTCATCCAGTTAAACATACAATGGAGCAGTGTGCCAAATACACTGGTAATTATATATTCTTTATTCTCTGTTTCCAGACATTATATTTGTATAATTTATAGTACCCAGCCTTTTTGTCTGTATGCCCCCTCAATGTTAGGCTTTGTAAAAAATATTGCATAGGCCCAATATATACCACAATCGATAAATGATTTTCAAATATTTATCACTTTAGCCCCTGAATCCCACATATCCCAGCTTATTAAAGATCCACCAGGCTAGACATTTTAATTCACAGTCCTTCTTTGGTATCCTATAGATAAAATTGAGTTATGGAATAATCATGTTATTACACCTCTCATTTGTATTCTAGGGACTGGTTGCACATTGGCATTATCTGCATTCTGCAGTCCACTCATGGGCACTGTGCTCAATCTTGAAGATCTCTTGGAGATTCTATTTAAATAAACATTTCACTGATGTCGTCAGTGCCCATCTGCCTCTGGATCAAACTCGTACTCTGAGTCTGACAGAAAGGCCTGTCAATGCAAATACTTAAATTGATATTCTGCGACTGTCAATCAGAGAAGTCGAGAGATATACAGTGATCCCACAGACAGGGGAGTTTTTTGTTTAAGCTGAATTAATCAGAAGCCCAGCAAGTTATATGATTATAATAGTTCCATTCCCACATCAACAGGCAGGTCAGAAGGTTGTCAACTCTGAACTTGTGATCTGACTCTAGAGTCTGCTCCATTATAATAACCATAATCTCCCTCATACATGAAAATATACTTATTTTGTCATCTAATGGGGTTGTTTTCTGGCTAGGTTTCCGAACGGTAAATCTGA